ATTTTTTACCTAACATTTTCTTTACTACTAACCCGCTAAAGCAGCCTCGCTTATTTTACAAAGGTAGACGGTATAGTCGAGCAGCCATTACCGCAGCGTGTTATTATGGCCCTTGTTGTCCCGGGTACTGTATTGCCCTTTCTTGTCCCGAGGGTATTGTATTGCCCCCCTCTTGCCCCGGGTCCCTTCTATTGCCGCCTGCCCTTGGGTGTCTCGCCCCCTTCCCCCCCCCTCACTCGATACAGGGTCTCGGCCACACCCCCTCGGCCGCTAGCCCCCCCCCCCCCTTCTCTCTGGTTTTAACTGATATTTAACGATTTTTCATAGATTTTAGAGTGACTGTTCTTCTTTAATAGTGATTATCATTAGTCAGTAGTGTGGAGAAGTTAGACATCATTAGTTGGTAGCTATTGTCTTATCCTTGCTTTTCAGGTTCATCACGTTATTTGGGCAGGACGCCATAGAAGTAGACTTAAGAACACTGAGAGCTATCCGGGTTCTAAGGCCATTAAAACTAGTATCAGGCATACCGAGTAAGTAGCCATGTTAGATCTTAGTGCTGTCTTAGGTCTATCATCTATGAGATGTTAGCTCGTTGGCTTCATCTTCAGTTCAAGGTTGAGTCTTTTTAGTTTCAATTTTTTTAAAAATTCTTTTCTGTTGCCGATGCACCCCCGCCCGCACAGCACAGCTCGCCGCCCGCCCGCCCGCCGCCCGCAAGCTCGCTCGCTCGCTCGCAGTACCCCCGCCCCCCCTTTAAAGCAAAGCCAGCAGAGACCCCTCAAAAAAGAGAAAAAAATATATATATACACCCATCCCCAAACTCTCTCTGTCTCTCTTTCTCTGTCTTTCTAACCCCCAGACCGGGTTTGTTGTATTTGGTTAAAATACATGTTAGTCAGTAAATCGCTCTCTCTTGCTACTTATAACTTTGATTCCAAGATTTAATGATAAATGATCACAATACTAATGAATCATGATAACGGTTATCACAGATTGCTTATCAGAGATTGCAATGACGTCACCCAGTTCCCTTCATTTAATACGTCGGTTCTTCTCATTTCTCAATTATCGGAAGGACATCAGTTTCTATCTCTTTCTCTCTTAGTGAATGGATTCTCAAAATGCAATAGTTAATGGGGCTTTTTTTCCCACAATTTTACTCTGTGTCTAATGTCTCTTAGCCTAGGTCATATCATTACGGTGTGAAGCTTTTTGGATTTTGTTTGAAGCATTTTTTGTGCTGTTAATGTTTTGCTTTAGATAGTTCTTTGGGTTCAATGTCTTTTATTTTTATATTCATGCACAATTTCGCATGACAGACAGTAGTTAAAGTATGTCGTTTCGTTCCTCTTTTTTCACCATCCTCCTGTCATACTTTTGCATTTTGCACATTCTTCAATTCTCATGTTTTTTCTCTCTTTACTTCTCACTTTTTTGGAAAGGGGCCTCGTACCCCTCTACTCCCCACCCTGCCCCTCCCCCCAGACATCCCAAGAAGGCTCTCGATATTAATTCTTTTTTTTTTTTACAATATACTTCTGTTGTTACTGATTTGTATGATTTGTGCTTCCTTATTTTTTGCGTAATTTCTATTCTGTATCTTCTCTTTCTCTTCTCTTCTCTTCTCTCTCTCTCTCTCTCTCTCTCTCTCTCTCTCTCTCTCTCTCTCTCTCTCTCTCTCTCTCTCTCTCTCTTTCATGTATGCTCCTAGGTACATTTTTTCTTTTTCTATTTATTCTTTATCTCTAACACATTCTTTACACTTGGTGCTAACATGACCACTGCCTTGTATCATCCAACCCAATCCGACCCTATCCACTTATTCCTCCCCCTCCTCCTCCTCCTCCTCCTTATCCTCTTGTTTCTATTCCTATTCCTCCTCCCACCATCCTTTCCTTCCTTCCTATTTTCCTTCCTTCCTTGTCCCTACCCTTCGGTCACTGGAAGGACCTTCGGCGGGACCCGCGGTCGTCCCGAGTCGCCCTCCGTCCCGTGGTACCTTTGCCGAAAGCGCTTCCAAGTTTCTTTATGGTTCATTATTATTCTCATACACGGAAGAGCTTTATAGAATCGGACCCTAATATCCCCGAGCTATAACACATGCCGTCGGAACCTCAGTACTAGGCCATTAAGTCGTCCGTCGGCCCTTAGCTCACCAGGGACGTACAAGGGACGAGTGTGTCCCTACGTTACTTCCTCCCCCTCTCTTTTTTTCCCACGTGGGAGGGTCTGCAACACAGGTAGGGCCCTGATGTCGCTGGATATTCAAGGGGTGTTCATTCTCCGTTATTTTCTCCCTCTCTCTCTCTTTATTTAAATATTTATTTGATTATTTGCCTTTCTCTCCTTTCGTCCGATGAAGCTGAGGCGACTAGCAGTGTCCCGGTTATGCCAGAAGCGCCAGAAAGTAATCGGGTATTTGGGTATTAGGGTAATCCTTACGTCTTCCTCCCCTCCGCGCGGTCTTGTCTTTCCGCGGATCCTGGCAAGCACGGCG